TTGGGGAGCTTAATGTGGCTTAGTGTACACAATAGAGCTTAGATGTTAACCCAATTTCCCCCAAACGTCACACAATAGAAGACTCTATCTATAGCAACATATTCTGAAAATTTCAGATCATTTGGTAAATCACACCAAAAGTTATTCACATTAAGCTATATTTTACAATGCTAAAACATTTAATGTAAACAGCTTAATGTAAAAAGAGCTTAATGTACCATAATGTGCCTAAACCTCAATCAATTGACTTGAAACGTTGCACTTCTAGGACATGTTTGGGACTTTAAGCTCTTTTTACATTAAGTTGTTTACATTAAATGTTTTAGCATTGTAAAATATAGCTTAATGTGAATAACTTTTGGTGTGATTTACCAAACGATCTGACATTTTCAGAATATGTTGCCATCAGTTGAATTAAATGTATTATTATTAGAGATGAGCGAACATGACGAAGTGGAATTCGTTCCGAAAATTTGGCAAAATTCTATTCGCGACAAATCCGAAGAAACTTCGGATGCACGTATCGAATTTTCCCAAAAATGGCGGCGACATGTGTGGCGACAGGAGAAAATGGACAGAGAAGATGGGGCGGGGATCTCTGGGAAGGCGCGCAGACAAGGCGCGCTGACCCATAATGCATTCATGAGTCATGAATCATGACATGTGATCGCATTAGCCAATCAGCAGCCAGCCAGCCAGCACTGTGTAATGGTGGAGCTATAAATCGCGGCCATCTTAGAATTCTCCATTAGCCTCGGTCATTCAAGAGAGACAGACCTCTGTGTATTGAGGACCGAGTTAGGGCCACAGAGACTTTAGGGCCACAGAATCGTTACTCAGGGACACAGAATTGTTACTCAGGGACACAGAATTGTTACTCAGGGACACAGAATCGTTACTCAGGGACACAGAATCGTTACTCAGGGACACAGAATCGTTACTTAGGGCCACAGCTATCAAAGAATCGAAAATTTAAAGTGACATACACCCGTTTTTTTTTTTTTGGTGGCTGTCGTGCACAGTTGGTGCTGCAGTTTGCCGATTGTGCAAAATAAACTGACTTTCTGCTTCACAACCACTATTGTACGTTCAAAGAGTTAAATCCATTTACACGCCGGTGGGCGGTAATATTTTTTGGGTGATTAGTGCATTCCAGTGACAGAAACGTACAGTTTCCAGCCAACGGCAAGCTGCAATTGACTGATTGTGTACAATAAACTGACTTTCTGCTTCACAACCACTATTGTACGTTCAAAGAGTTAGATCCATTTACACGCCGGTGGCGGTAATATTTTTTGGGTGATTAGTGCATTCCAGTGACATAAACGTACAGTTTCCAGCCAACGGCAAGCTGCAATTGACCGATTGTGCAAAATAAACTGACTTTCTGCTTCACAACCACTATTGTACGTTCAAAGAGTTAAATCCATTTACACGCCAGCTAGCGGTAATATTTTTTGGGTGATTAGTGCATTTCAGTGACAGAAACGTACAGTTTCCAGCCAACGGCAAGCTGCAATTGACCGATTGTGTACAATAAACTGACTTTCTGCTTCACAACCACTATTGTACGTTCAAAGAGTTAGATCCATTTACACGCCGGGTGGCGGTAATATTTTTTGGGTGATTAGTGCATTCCAGTGACATAAACGTACAGTTTCCAGCCAACGGCAAGCTGCAATTGACCGATTGTGCTAAATAAACTGACTTTCTGCTTCACAACCACTATTGTACGTTCAAAGAGTTAAATCCATATACACTCCGGGTGGCGGTAATATTTTTTGGGTGATTAGTGCATTCCAGTGACATAAACGTACAGTTTCCAGCCAACGGCAAGCTGCAATTGACCGATTGTGCTAAATAAACTGACTTTCTGCTTCACAACCACTATTGTACGTTCAAAGAGTTAAATCCATATACACGCCGGGTGGCGGTAATATTTTTTGGGTGATTAGTGCATTCCAGTGACATAAACGTACAGTTTCCAGCCAACGGCAAGCTGCAATTGACCGATTGTGCTAAATAAACTGACTTTCTGCTTCACAACCACTATTGTACGTTCAAAGAGTTGCATCCATTTACACGCCGGGTGGCGGTAATATTTTTTGGGTGATTAGTGCATTCCAGTGACAGAAACGTTCAGTTTCCAGCCAACGGAAAGCTGCAATTGACCGATTGTGTACAATATAACTGACTTTCTGCTTCACAACCACTATTGTACGTTCAAAGAGTTAGATCCATTTACACGCCGGGTGGCGGTAATATTTTTTGGGTGATTAGTGCATTCCAGTGACATAAACGTACAGTTTCCAGCCAACGGCAAGCTGCAATTGACCGATTGTGCTAAATAAACTGACTTTCTGCTTCACAACCACTATTGTACGTTCAAAGAGTTAAATCCATATACACACCGGGTGGCGGTAATATTTTTTGGGTGATTAGTGCATTCCAGTGACATAAACGTACAGTTTCCAGCCAACGGCAAGCTGCAATTGACCGATTGTGCTAAATAAACGGACTTTCTGCTTCACAACCACTATTGTACGTTCAAAGAGTTACATCCATTTACACGCCGGGTGGCTATTCTCGGGTAATATTTTTTGGGTGATTAGTGCATTCCAGTGACTTAAACGGTACAGTTTAAGTCAATGGCAAGCTGCAATTGACCGATTGTGCTAAATAAACCGACTTTCTGCTTCACAACCACTATTGTACGTTCAAAGAGTTAAATCCATATACACTCCGGGTGGCGGTAATATTTTTTGGGTGATTAGTGCATTCCAGTGACATAAACGTACAGTTTCCAGCCAACGGCAAGCTGCAATTGACCTGATTGTGTACAATAAACTGACTTTCTGCTTCACAACCACTATTGTACGTTCAAAGAGTTAGATCCATTTACACGCCGGTGGCGTCGGTAATATTTTTTGGGTGATTAGTGCATTCCAGTGACATAAACGTACAGTTTCCAGCCAACGGCAAGCTGCAATTGACCGATTGTGCAAAATAAAAACTGACTTACTGCTTCACAACCACTATTGTACGTTCAAAGAGTTAAATCCATTTACACGCCGGTAGCGGTAATATTTTTTGGGTGATTAGTGCATTCCAGTGACAGAAACGTACAGTTTCCAGCCAACGGCAAGCTGCAATTTGGACGATTGTGTACAATAAACTGACTTTCTGCTTCACAACCACTATTGTACGTTCAAAGAGTTAGATCCATTTACATGCCGGGGTGGCGGTAATATTTTTTGGGTGATTAGTGCATTCCAGGTGACATTAAAACGTACAGTTTCCAGCCAACGGCAAGCTGCAATTGACCGATTGTGCTAAATAAACTGACTTTCTGCTTCACAAACCACTATTGTACGTTCAAAGAGTTAAAATCCATAACACGCCGGGTGGTGGCGGTAATATTTTTTGGGTGATTAGTACATTCCAGTGACATAAACGTACAGTTTCGGCCAACGGCAAGCTGCAATTGACCGATTGTGCTAAATAAACTGACTTTCTGCTTCACAACCACTATTGTACGTTCAAAGAGTTAAATCCATATACACGCCGGGTGGCGGTAATATTTTTTGGGTGATTAGTGCATTCCAGTGACATAAACGTACAGTTTCCAGCCAACAGCAAGCTGCAATTGACCGCCGATTGTGCTAAATAAACTGACTTTCTGCTTCACAACCACTATTGTACGTTCAAAGAGCTTTAAATCCATATACACGCCGGGTGGCGGTAATATTTTTTGGGCGATTAGTGCATTCCAGTGACATAAACGTACAGTTTCCAGCCAACGGCAAGCTGCAATTGACTGATTGTGCTACAATAAACTGACTTTCTGCTTCACAACCACTATTGTACGTTCAAAAGAGTTACATCCATTTACACGCCGGGTGGCGGTAATATTTTTTGGGTGATTAGTGCATTCCAGTGACTTAAACGTACAGTTTAAGTCAATGGCAAGCTGCAATTGACCGATTGTGCTAAATAAACCGACTTTCTGCTTCACAACCACTATTGTACGTTCAAAGAGTTAAATCCATATACACGCCGGGTGGCTGGTAATATTTTTTTGGGTGATTAGTGCATTCCAGTGACATAAACGTACAGTTTCCAGCCAACGGCAAGCTGCAATTGACTGATTGTGTACAATAAAAATGACTTTCTGCTTCACAACCACTATTGTACGTTCAAAGAGTTAGATCCATTTACACGCCGGGTGGCGGTGGTAATATTTTTTTGGGTGATTAGTGCATTCCAGTGACATAAACGTACAGTTTCCAGCCAACGGCAAGCTGCAATTGACCGATTGTGCAAAATAAACTGATTTACTGCTTGTCACAACCACTATTGTACGTTCAAAGAGTTAAAATCCATTTACACGCCGGCTAGCGGTAATATTTTTTTGGGTGATTAGTGCATTCCGAGTGACAGAAACGTACAGTTTCCAGCCAACGGCAAGCTGCAATTGACCGATTGTGCTAAATAAACTGACCTTTTCTGCTTCACAACCACTATTGTACGTTTCAAAGAGTTAAACATCCATATACACGCCGGGTGGAGGTAATATTTTTTGGGTGATTAGTGCATTTCCAGTGACATAAACGTACAGTTTCCAGCCAACAGCAAGCTGCAATTGACCGATTGTGCTAAATAAACTGACTTTCTGCTTCACAACCACTATTGTACGTTCAAAGAGTTAAATCCATATATACACTCCGGGTTGGCGGTAATATTTTTTTGGGTGATTAGTGCATTCCAGTGACATAAACGTACAGTTTCCAGGCCAACGGCATGCTGCAATTGACCGATTGTGCTAAATAAACTGACTTTCTGCTTCACAACCACTATTGTACGTTCAAAGAGTTACCGTATTTGCCGGCGTATAAGACGACTGGGCGTATAAGACGACCCACCTACTTTTCCCTGTATAAAATGTTAGTGTTTGGGGCTTATACTCGCCGTATAAGACTACCCCTCTTCCAATGCACACCAGTGGGAGGAATAGTGCCCCATCATTGGTATCAGTGGGAAGGAATAGTTGCCCCATCATTGGTATCAGTGGGGGGAATAGGTGCCCCATTATTGGTATCAGTGGCAGGAATGGTGCCCCATCATTGGTATCAGTGGCAGGAATAGTGCCACCATCATTGGTATCAGTGGCAGGAATAGTGCCCCAGCTCATGGTGTCAGTGGGGAGGAATAGTGCCCCATCATTGGTGTCAGTGGAGGAGGAATGGATTGTCCCATCATTGGTGTCAGTGGCAGGAATAGTGCCCCATCATTGGTGTCCAGTGGGAGGAATAGTGCCCCATCATTGGTGTCAGTGGGGGGAAATGGTGTCCCATCATTGGTGTCAGTGGGAGGAAATGGTTGTCCCATCATTGGTGTCAGTGAGGGGGTTGAAATAGTGCCCCATCATTGGTGTCAGTGGGGGGTGGAATAGTGCCCCATCGTTGGTGTCAGTGGGGGGGGGGAATAGTGCCCCATCATTGGTGTCAGTGGGAGGAATAGTGCCCCATCATTGGTATCAGTGACACCAATGATGGGGCACTATTCCTCCCACTGAGACTTTGCTGACCCTGTTCTCGTATGGTGCTGCTGCAGCCAGCAGTATGTGGTTGCAGCAGCACCTCTACACAGAACACTTGACTGCTGCTCCGGCACTCAATTTTCGCGCGGGGGTCCGCTCGGCTCCGCCCCTCGCCGGTGATTGGCCGCCTGTGTGCCTTTCCATGAGCTACAGTTCTGGCGGCCAATTCACCGGTGGAGGAGGCGGAAAGGCGAGCAGCCGCACGAACATCCAGTGGCCGAACTGAAGGAGACGCCGAGCGCTTCCTGGACGGATCGTCGTGGACTGGATCCAGGTAAGAGACATCAGCCCCTGCAAACCCCTGTACTTAATGCCGCAGCCCCCCTAAACATGTTGTGTACCGGCGTATAAGACGACCCCCCGACTTTTGAGAAGATTTTCAAGGGTCAAAAAGTCGTCTCTTATACGCCGGCAAATACAGTACATCCATTTACACGCCGGGTGGCGGTAATATGTTTTTGGGTGATTAGTGCATTCCAGTGACAGAAACGTTACAGTTTCCAGCCAACGGCAAGCTGCAATTGACCGATTGTGTACAATAAACTGACTTTCTGCTTCACAACCACTATTGTACAGTTCAAAGAGTTAGATCCATTTACACGCCGGTGGTGGCGGTAATATTTTTTGGGTGATTAGTGCATTCCAGTGACATAAACGTTACAGTTTCCAGCCAACGGCAAGCTGCAATTGACCGATTGTGCTAAATAAACTGACTTTCTGCTTCACCAACCACTATTGTACGTTCAAAGAGTTAAATCCATTATACACGCCGGGTGGCGGTAATATTTTTTAGGGTGATTAGTGCATTCCAGTGACATAAACGTACAGTTTCCAGCCAACGGCAAGCTGCAATTGACCGATTGTGCTAAATAAACTGACTTTCTGCTTCACAACCACTATTGTACGTTCAAAGAGTTAAATCCATTACACGCGGCTGGCGGTAATATTTTTTTGGGTGATTAGTAACATTCAGTGACAGAAACGTACAGTTTCCAGCCAACGGCAAGCTGCAATTGACCGATTGTGCTACATAAAATGACTTTCTGACTTCACAACCACTATTGTACGTTCAAAGAGTTAGATCCATTTAGACGCCGGGTGGCGGTAATATTTTTTGGGTGATTAGTGCATTCCAGTGACATAAACGTACAGTTTACAGCCAACGACAAGCTGCAATTGACCGATTGTGTACAATAAAACTGACTTTCTGCTTCACAACCACTATTGTACGTTCAAAGAGTTAAATCCGGTTTTTATTTTTGGGGTGCTTATTGAATTAAAGAGTATGTCAGACAACACGCAGAGGAGTGGCAGGAGGAGGCAATGTTTCAGGGAGCGAGTAGACGTGGCAGCAGAGGAAGGGGTCGAGGCAGCACTATTCGCAGCCAGAGGCCAGTGCTCCCCGGTGTCATCCAGCGGTCGTGTCTCCACCGACAAACCCTGCCGTCATCGATTGGTTGACTCGGTCGTCTTCCTCTTCCCAGGTCACCTCTGACACCTACAGCCAACGGGTCGGTGGGTACGTCAGACACAACCGTTTAGTTGGCATGGCCCGGGAGCAAGCCCACTGAAATCACGTGTCCTCGACCTTGCCCTGTCCTTTGGTGTTCCCTCACCAAGCGAAGTATCGCATGCTGTGGGCTCAGCCCCACTGTACAGTGAGGAAGAGCTAAGAGAGGGCGGTCAGGAACGGGGGGGGAGACATTTCCGCCTCTTCAGCAGCCAGGCGAAGAAGTACTGGCGAGGAGAGTGGCTCGGTAGCCGGTCTACGAGACAGGTCTGTCTCCTGACCCACACGCAGCCGAGGGGGCTAGTAGTGACGCGGAGACCCTAATAATTGATGATGATGAGGCTGATCGCACTTGGCAGCCTCGTCGTCATCAGGCTATTGCTTCCGCATCATCAGGAAAAGAGGGTGCCAGCTTGCCAGCGAGCAAAAAACAGTCGGTGGGTTGCCCAGGAGAGGGCAGCAGGGTCGCAGCAGTGTCAGTGGAGCCACAAACGGCCACGGAGTAGAGCACCAGCTCCACTTCAGCCTACCACCACGGCCAGTAGTGGTGCCGGTGTGCACGGAGGAAGTAGCAGTCAGCCAGTGAGGAGTAGCGGGGGCAAAGTTTCCTACTCGGCAGTGTGGCAATTTTTCGAGTCAAGCCGCCCGAGGAAGTAAACGTAGCCGTATGTCGACTATGTGGCCAGAAAGTCAAGCGTGGCCAGGGGGCCAATGTTGGGACTACAGCGTTGTGTCAGCATATGCAGCGTCGCCATTCGGTGGCCTGGGAAAAACCGTGATAAAGATACGGCGGTTCGGCCTGCCCCAGCCCCCGCTCCATCACCCGCTCCGTTACGTGCTCCGTCACCCGACGTCAATCGCCCTCTATCAGCCAGTCAAGGCTCCAACACCTCTGCTGAGGGGAGTTGTCGCTCTAGTTGGGCATCTTCCGCTCGTTCAGATTTACTCACTTCTCCTGCTACTCCTCTTCACGGAATTCCCTGTCAGCAGTCTTTCTTGGTATCCGTTTTCCAAGAGGACAACCAGTTTGACGAGCACGCACTCCGACGGTGAAGAAGGATGAACGTCCTTCCTGTCCCATGTTGTGGTGCTGATGCAGGTCCACTCCCTTTTCAAAGTGGTGGGACTTCCAGCACCTTTCCGAGAAATGATGGCTTGTGCCGAGCCGCAAGAAGATTGAGTGGAGAGGTGCCCAAGCCGTTCATTTCTTCGCCAAAAAGGCCAGTGCCAGCCCTGCATTTCACATTTGTTGGTTTTTTAGAAGAGATCTTGGTGGGCCAGTATTTGAGCATGTCAGGTCTCTGCCAAAGGTGCCAACGGCAGCGCCGTCGTTTGGAGCTGTAACTACGGTCTGGGACAAGTTATCAATGTCATTTAACGGGCCCAACTGGGTGGGTGAACCGTTTGGTGCACGGCCAACAGCCGCTCCTGCAACTTGGACAGGTCACGCCGCTTGGTGCCTCCAAGTTTGCACGTCCTTTGGTCAACAAATGATGTCCGCCTCTATCCCTCTTCTTCCGCCGATTGTCGTCCGCAGCCGCCACCCCCGTGCCAGTCACATTACCCGACCGGCATATCACATGTGCAGGGACGCAACGGTGTCACGCTGTGCTGTACTGGTATTGCCTTGGCGAACGTAGCCACAGGGGGGTCTTTGGTGTAATGAAAGAGAAAACGACAGTGGCGTCTCCGCGCAAATGAAAATCGGAAACCCGTTGACGAAAACGGAAGAACATGGTGTCTGCCCCGCTCAAGGAAGGTTGTGCCCTGCGCCAGCATGGCTCACGTGTTCAATTTGGTTGTCAAGCGGTTCCTAAAATCCACCCTCCCCCTGCAAAACAACCTTTAAAAAGCACGTAAACTTTTCATGCATT